GTCCCCAGGATGCTACTGAGCTTCCTGTCAGAGAAGACCATCTCTTATGCTGGATGTCTGACACAGATGTATTTTATTTATGCTCTGGGCAACACTGACAGCTACCTCCTGGCGGTTATGGCCCTTGACCGCTATGTGGCCATCTGTGACCCCTTCCACTATGTCACCACCATGAACCACCACCGCTGTGTCCTGCTGGTGGCCTTTTCCTGCTCACTTCCTCACCTCCACTCACTCCTACACACACTGCTACTGAATCGTCTCACCTTCTGTGACAACAATGTTATCCATCACTTCCTCTGTGACCTCAGTCCCCTGATGAAATTGTCCTGCTCCTCCACATTTCTCAATGAAATTGTGATAATGTCAGAAGGCTCTGTTGTTTTGGTGACCCCCTTTGTGTGCATCACTTTCTCTTACATACGAATCCTCATCACAGTTCTCAAGATCCCCTCAGCTGCTGGGAAACGCAAAGCCTTCTCCACCTGTGGCTCTCACCTCACTGTGGTAACCCTCTTTTATGGAAGCATCTTCTACGTCTATTTACAGCCCCTGTCCACCTACACTGCCAGGGACCACATAGCAACACTTGTCTACACAGTTCTTACCTCCATGCTGAACCCTTTTATCTATAGCCTGAGAAACAAAGACCTGAAACAGGGCCTGAGGAAGCTGATGGGCAGGAGGAAATCCCAGGCAGCACCCTCTTGACAAACCCACAAGTGGAATCTGCTTCACTTGAATCTAATATCTGCTAGATCTTGGTGAACAACTGAACTGCTAGAGGTTAGTTTTTTTTAATCTATGTGAGACACGGCTATTGTGGGTGATCACATGCATTGATGACAGCCCACAATTGTCCCCCGCTCTGTTTCAATCATGATACTCTTCCTTACTATTCCTCAACTTTCTCACAAAGATTCATCACATTCTCATCCTCTAAATAATACTTTAAACTAACCATTTCCAACTAATATTTCCTGAAAAAATTGCTGTCCTTTTATTAAGACTTACTCTCCAATACCTTTCACATTTCAGTATATTGCTGAAAATGATTACCTAATTTACATTATTCAATTCAATTTAATTTTAGCTAATTTTCTTATGAGGATTTTTATAATTTCTTATTTTTTTCTTTCATAAAACTTATTCTTGCTTAAAAATTAAATTTTGCCTTTACTCTTATCTTTCTATTCTTTTAAAAAAATTTTAATGTTCATTTATTTTTGAGAGAGAGCAAGTGGGGGAGAGGCAGAGAGAAAGAGAGACACAGAATCTGAAGCAGGCTCCCGGCTCTGAGCTGTCAGCACAGAGACTGACACAAGGCTTAAACTCATGACTGTGAGATCATGACCTGAGTTGAAGTCAGATGCTTAATTGACCGAGCCACCCATGTGCTCCTTATCTTTCTATTCTTGATTATGTTGCTGTGGCCTTATTTCTCTTATATTTCCTCTTATTTTTTTACTATACTACTTAAAAATGGTAATAGCCAGAAAGAACAAGAACCAAGAGTGATTATATGAAAGTTATCCATTCCACAAGGAGGAAGTTGGAACCTCTCTTTCCTCCATCTATCCCTAAACATTTATGTTTAAAAATATGTGATTTAATACTTTATTCTAGAAACTCCCACTCTTCGGGTTCTAACCTATGGAAATAGTATCATAAAAGTATATTGGATATTGAGATACATTTTTTCACTGATTTCCAGTTATTACAGATAAAAATTGGCAAAACAGTCGGGGCACCTGGGTGGCTCAGTTGGTTAAGTGTCCCACCTTGGCTCAGGTCATTATCTTACTGCTTGTGGGTTCAAGCCCTGCTCAGGCTCTGTGCTGACAGCTCAGAGCCTAGAGCTTGCTTCATATTCTGTTTCCCTTTCTCTCTGCCCCTCCCCCACTTGCTCTCTCTCTCTCTCTCTCCCAAATATAAATAAAAACATCAATTTTTTTAAATGGCAACAACCTAAAATCTTATCTATGAAGAATGGAGATATTATGATTAGTTACAGAGAATGTAAGAATATGCAGCAAGTTGAGGGGAGCCTGGGTGGCTCAGTCAGTTGAGCATCCAACTCTTGATTTTGGCTCAGGTCACAATCCCAGGGTCACATGATTGAACTCTTACATCAGGCTCTGTGCTGAGCATGGAGCCTGCTTAAGATTCTCTCTTTCTCCCCCTGCCCTTTGCCCCCTCCTCTGCTTGCTTTCTCTCTCTCAAAAAGTATTTTTTTAAAAAAGAATATGTAGCAAGATGAAAGAATCAAATAAATGTTTATTACTTCCTTGAAAAGCCATTAGGTGGAAAAATAAAGATATAGAACAAGTATAAAAGTATGAATTCATTATGTTTTTAAAGATTGTATAAATATATATGTGGGTATAGTCAGTGCAGTAAGAATGTAAGTGTAGTAGGGGACAGAAAGAATTTCCAATTAATGCACACTTGTAATCTCTAATTCATTTAAATAAATATTGATAGCAAATTAAATGTAAACCTATTAATAAATCAGATGGCCAATGCAATGGTGAAGGAATTTCTTTGCAAGGTACCAAAGAGGAGAAACTTTCTATGTGTATGCATATCTGAAACACATCATATTTTGGTTCTGCCACTCGAATTATAATTTGATGGTATATAACATTCTAGAAACCAAAACTTTTGAAAGTTTAAGGATAAACCTGGATTGTCCTACTGCATCAAGTGTTTCCATTGAGAAACAAGAGGTCATTGCAATTTATGTTCCTCTGTGACTCCCTCCCCTAATCACAGTCTATAGATACCCTACACCAAATGTGACCAGGCTGCTACTGCTTAAGCTGTGGGAGAGTGAACTCTGATTCCATGCACTTTACTCCAAATTTCAGCACAGGAGCCTGGTCATTGTCCTCAGAAATTGACAAGCCCAATTTAAATGAAAATTAAAACAACCTAGAACAGCTAATACCTTGAAGAAAAATCACAAAGTTGGAGGAAACACATTACCAAATTTCAAGATTTCTACAAAGCTGACATAATTAATATAGTGCAGTATTTATGTGGTGTAGAATAGATAAATAGATCAAGGTAACAGAATGGAGAACACAGAAATATATACTTATTTATATAATCACTTGACTTTTGACCAAGTGCCAATGCAATTTAGTGGAGAAAGGAGTACCCATTCAATACATTATGCTAGAGCAACTGCATATGCACACAGAAAACAATTAGCCTACTAATTACTGCACACCATACATGAAAATAAATTCAAGGTGGCTCATAGATTTAATATAAGGGCTGAAACTGTTAAATTTTTTTATTCAAAAACAATAGAAAAATATATTTGTGACCTTGACATGAGTGATTTCTCAGTCAAGAAACAAAAGAACTAACCATAAGAGAAAAATTATTGAGTGGATTTCATGAAATTCAAAAGTTTTGCTTATCAAAAGTCACCTTAAGAAAGTGAAAATGGAGGGGCACTTGGGTGGCTCAGTCATTTAAGCGTCTGACTCTTGATTTCTGCTCAGGTCATGATCTCATGGTTTGAGAGTTGTAGCCTGCATCGGGCTCTACGCTGACAGCACAGAGCCTGCCTGAGATGCTCTCTCTCTCTCTCTCTATCTCCCTCTCTCTGCCCCTCTCCAGCTCTCTCTCTCTCTCTCTCAAAATAAATAAATAAACTTAAAAAAAGAAATTAAAAATGGAAAAAATATTCACACTACATATATCAGGCAAAAAAATATCTAAAATATATAAGAACTTAATCAAATCAAAAACTAAAAGCATAAACATTTTAATGTTTAAAAGTAGATATAAAAATTGAAAAGACACTTTACAAAAGAAGATATTCAAGTGGCCAATACTGCATGTGAAAGATGCTCAGCATAATTACTTACCAGGTAAATGGAAATTAAAGTCATAATGTGATACCACATAACACTCAAAAGAATGGCTACAATTTAAAAGACAATACACAATTTTTGTAGGATTTGGAACAACCAAAATTCTCATTTATTGATATTGGGAATGTGAAATTATGTAATCACTTTGGAAAACAGTTTGGCAATTCCTAATAAAATTAAATATAAAACAACCCTAAGTCTATACAAAAAAATCTTGTACAAAATATTCACAGCAGCTTTATTCATAATAGAGCAGACTAAAAACAAGTCAAATGTTCATTAACAGGAATTAGATAAACAAATCATTAGTAAAAGGTATACACTTAAGATTTGCACTATTTTACTAGATGTAAACTACACTTCAATTTTAAAAGAAGTTGGATGACCTGGAGATAATGAGAAGAAGCTTTGGGACTATCAGCACCTGTGCACAGGACAGATTAACACCAGGCAAATATGTGCTTCATCTGAATACAAGGGACAGCATTAGGGAAATATCTTTGAAAATTTGGGACATTCAGAGGTAGGAATGAGAGGGACAGAGATGATGCTACCTATCACCTCACAAAAGTTATCTGCACCTCACAAAATGCCTCTGTGTCCTGTCAATCCAATTGACTTGAGTCCAGGATAACATCTGCACATCCAGTCCAGAAGGAGACATTGCAGCTCAGAATTCAACTTAAATTCCTCTAAACGTGTGCATATTCTTAAAAGAAAAATGAGCCAGATAATGACTTCACCTAGCGGCCCTAAATTAAGAGTGACCATAGGTGATGCCTCCCTCTTTCCTAGTGGAGACTGGCCCATCATCCTTTGCCTTTCTTCTTCCCAGAAATGAACAAAAGCAGCAGCTCTAGAGAGCCTAATCCCACTACGTGCCGCTAGAGGGCAGTATAGCTGAACCAGCGATGTCTATCCAGTGAAGCCCAGTCTAGGTAAGACAAGTAATGGTTAGAATAAGTGAGAGAGACCTGTGGCAGTTGAAAAGAAATAACATAATGGAAAATACTGGCTGGAAAGGGAGTTGTCACTCTTTCCTTAAAAGCCACCTCAGTGCATGACAGTAATAGACTTAGCTATTTCTCTCATATGTAGTGTTTAGTCATGGCCAATACTAGAATATGCCCCAGGACTCATTTTCCCAAGGACAGTTGGACCAAAGCCACACTGCCCTTTATACATACAATTTGAAGGGAAGACATCACTCAGTGTTCCTTGATGAGCTGTCTAGATAATAGTAGATTGGAATTATTATTTTAGTGCCATGTTGTTATGTTTATCATTTTGATTCCTGCCTTTGAACCTCACTGGGAATACTGTGACTGTTAGCTAACAACTGCTACATTATGTTTCTTTAACCAGGATGACGCCTTTATTAAAGCAAGTACCTGTATATGAGGGACACACATTGTTGTCATCTGCCAAAATGTTGGAATTTAATTTGCTCTTTTAACTTGCCAGATATAAACATGGATGGAAAACTATACCACCAGGTACTCAAGGAATTACAATGATGTCCAAGAGGTAAATGGTTTTTTTTAATATTTTGATCTCATATTAAAGCTAAGATTTAAGGACATGAAAAGGAATGGAAGGGAGAACAAGAAAAGAAGAGACCTAAGAACGAGAGGGGAACGTTGACATTACAGAGTTGTCACATATCAATGATGATTTCACTCTGCAAAGTACCCCCCCTCCGAAAAAAATTGTGGGAAGGCTTTGGGATACTTGAACTTAACTGCACCTGCTATGTGAACATGCTCACCTGGCAATTCCTTGAGGAACATAACACTTTTTTGGTGAATATAGTGTACTTGA